TCCTGGTCACTGGAGGCCTCAGGAGCCTGAGAAGAAATGGAAATGAAGGACAGCTGAACTGGCAGGAAGAGCACAACCTTGGGTCCTGAAGTGTCCTCCAGAGAGGGTCATGTGTCGAAGGCTAGGTTCCCAATGCAGCAATGTTCAGAGGTGGGGCCCTTGGAAGTGATTGGATCATGGGGGCTCTGATTTTGTCAATGCATTCATTTATTTATTTTCCTTCTTTTATTGTTTTTATTCATTTCTTCACATGTGCATACGTTGTTTGGGCCATTTTCCCCCCCTGCCCCCCCCCCTGCATTCATATATTTATGAAATCATAATTTGATGGTGTTAAATGCCACACACCGCACACAAAGGAGGCTCACGAGAGGTATCTCATGTCCAAAAGTCTAATAAGCAGGCTGGCTGGCCGAGAAGAAAAAAATGGCACAGCGCTCTTCTCTTGGCAGTCTGGCCTTAAGTAGCATTTGGGAGAAAGCAAGGGCTAGGGACCGGCAAAGGGAGGTGGCGGGAGATAAGGGACAGTGGGCTTTGTTCTGCAAGGGATGAGACCAGCTGCGGCTCAGGCTGCAGAATGGTGGCATGGGGCAGTTCTTATCAGATGGTATTATTGGGAAGGTGGAAACCAGGAGGTGGGGTCTAGTTAGAGGAACCACTGGGAGTATGCCCAGGATAGAAAGATATGACTTGTTCTTAGTCTACCCCTGCCCCTTCCTGGCTGCCGTGGTAGATGAAAGCTACCATGCCCTTCCACCATGGTATTTCTGCCTTGCCATCTGTCTAAACAGAATGGAGCCAGCTGACCATGACTGAGAACTCTGAAACCATGAGCCAAATCTTTTACCCCCTAAGTATTTTCTCTGGTATTTTGTCACATCAACAAAAAACTAACACGCCTGGCCATGACACCAGAGCTGACATCCCGAACGTCCCTAAACTTTGCTTTTCTCATCTATAAAACTGAGATAATCACTGATGCTATTGAAAATGAAGTGAAATCAAGAATTAAACAAAATGATGTCATTAACTGCCCAGCACAGTGCCTCATGTACCTAGTCGACGCTGAATGTGTTCTCTTCTTTGATTTCACATGCCCTGAAACTGTGACCAGGAAGGTGGGTGGGACATGGGGCGTGTGGGATTCTGAATGACTGATTAAAACAAAAACACTGGAAAACAAACTCAAGTCTGATTTTATATGAAAGAATGTGAGGTAAGAGGAAAATTCATAATTATATGCCCTCTTTAAATAAAGAAGATACATTTGTAACCAAGTTTCTCTGATAGTAAGTCCCTGAGAGGGGGAGGGGAATCATCTCATCACTTTTTGCTTTGGCAACAAGTTCAGACATCTCTCATAGCAAGTCAAATACAAAAACAAGTTATTTACCTTGACTGTGTGTGAGGAAAGCCAAGTTATTTTGCTCAGGCTTTGAAGATCCAGGGAAGCCCTTCAAGCTCTATTTCTGTCCAATCCTCTGGGTCTCATTCTTTCCTCCCCTCCCCTCCTCTTCCTTCTTCTTTTTTTTCAGTGCCTGCTACACCCCCATCCCTGGCTCTGGTTTGAACCAGATGCACTGTTTACAGACTTGTCACCAGGTTACGGTAAAAAGAGGAATCACCTGACAAGCACCTTTGAAAAAAAGCAAAACCAGTCCTTGAGGCACCAAATTCTGATCCTCATTTTTATCACTAGATGGAGTCAAACTTAGAAGGCATGAAGAACCCCTGGGGCCCAGATTTGGCACTGGCGTCCAGCCATCAATCCTTTGTTGTCCCTCCTCTGACCCTCCCAACCCCAACCCTAAGCCCTTTCGTGGCTGGGGCTCCCTGCCTAGCTCTGGCTCTGAGCGCTAAGGAAGATCTGAAGAGATCTCACTTTCCCCTTGGCTTTGATGTTCAGTGGAGTGATTTGGCTCAGAAACAACCCTGTCTCTAAATAACAACAAAAAAGTATTACTTCTTTCCTCACATTTCCCTATGAATGGTTAAGGGAGTTGGCAGTTTTTTTTTCTATTGGGGAACCATTTGGCTTTTTAGCAAAACCATGGAGCCTCTCAAATACAGCCCTTTTAGGGATGTTGAGGGCAGCCCTCACCTTCAACTGTGTATACCTTGTATTACAGAATAAGCCTGGCTGGAGGTTTGGCTCACACAGTGCCTGCCTAGCAAGTGTGAAGCTCTGAGTTTGAACCCCAGTATGAAAAAACAAAACTTACAGGGAGCTTTATAAAGTGTACCAAACTTTTTGAGCTAATTTCATTTCACCACTTCAGAGTCAGGAGGCAGAAAAAGACATGTGTACAAACCTGTAACAGCAGTTGCTTAAATGTAACACAGAAATCATGATTTACTAACAACTGAGCTCAAGTCCTGCTTCTGAGATCAGCTGAAGTGTCTCTGGCCAGACACAGCTGCTGGCAGTTCCTCACCTCTGCTTTATTCTAAGCCTAAGAACACTTGGAGATCAGGCACATAATCTAAAGTCCACTCAGGATCGCCCCTTTTCTTTCTACCTTCCCTGCCACCAAAACCTTTTTTTGTGGCTCCTGTGACAATCCAGTGAGCAGGTAGGTTGCACACGCCTAGCCTCCTGCCTTGGAGTCCCACTAGCAGATATAATTGGGCCTCACATTTTTCAGGTAAGGCAGAGACCAGCTGTGACAGTCCTCTCAGCTGCTTGCAGGAAATGCAGCCTCCTGGCCCCAGGCTGGACTCTCTAAACCCAAGTCAGGGGGTATGAAAATGTTTCATCTTAACAGATGCTGAGGTTCCTGCTCCCCAGAGCCTGTTCTGGGGGCTTCAAGAGAAAGTCCTTTAATACCCAGGTGACTGTGGGGCCTCCCTCCTCTCCTCTTCCTGGGAAGCTGTGGATTCTTACTGGCCCCAGGCCATCACCTGCTATAAAACCAGGGCTCTCTGCTGGAGTCCCAGGAATCTCCCTCAGGCGAGGAAGAGAGGCAGAAACCACCTCCATGGAGAAGCACTACACAATCTGGGGCTTTTATTTATATCACGGAGCAAGCAAAGGATACAAAAGGAGTCTTGTGGCCAAGCCACTAAAGGGGGAGCTGAAAGACACATTCTCAGAGGGTGTGAGTTCTGATACTAAAGAATTAGAGAGAAGGTAGGGAGGTTTCTGCAACACGATGCAAGGTCTTAAGTTCAAAAAGCCATGAGGGCTGAGAGAAGGCTTGAAGTCCCTCCGTGGTGAACGGCAACCATTCCAGGACAGCCCCTGCAAAGTTTTGACTTTTGACATTTTGGAGTTAATTCTTAACCAGACTTTGAGAGGCTAAGGGCCAAATGTGCTTGACTTTACTGTTTTCCAGTTTGGGGGTAGGGAGGAAGTTCTTCCTTGGGTAGATTCCCAGACAAGGTGAGGCCTGGGAAGAAGCCTCAGCCCTTCCCTGGGCCGCACTTCCACTTCCCCAGAAGACAAGGTGGGTGTCCTGGGGCTTGGAAGTGACCAGCAGCCCTCCCAGGCCCTGACTGTCTTTCCCACTCTGTTTGGCTTTTTCTCCCACTTATGTCTAATCCCCTTTCCCCCATGCTGCAGGGCAAGTCATAATTACCTCACATGTGTGAAATATGCTTTTATCAACTTTCACCATTTGGACTAAAACAAGATCATTAGTTTGCTCTCTTCTTCTCCTCACAAATATTAATGACATAGGGATTGGGCCCCTGAGCATCTTCAATGTGAGCCTCCAGAAAGGGAAACTGAGTCTAGCTTAACAGCTATTACTGTCTCCTCCACCCATTCCTTTTTCTGTCTTCCCACCTTCTCGACCTCCCAATGCCTCCTGGTTAGGCTGAGGGCTGAGGCAGGAGAGTCACGGCCTCCCTGGCTTGCCCTGGGAATGCTACAGGAGCAACAGCTGCCACTGGTCCTGAAGTGATCAATCAGAAACCCTGCTTTGGACTATGGATATTCTGGAAACAGTCAAAGCAACGGCCTACCATGGGGGTTGGCAGAGGGACTGCCTCCTTCTTTGACCTCCCTCTGAACTATTTTCAACAGTCATGACCCAATGTGAACACAGTTTTCAAAGCATCACAGCCTTAAGGCTTCTTCTCCCAGCATCCAGTGGCAGTCCACGAGTCATCTTTGGTGGGTACCAGGCCCAGGACCCACACCTACCCTAACCTTTGAATCCATGTGGTCAAATGAGACAATACAGAGGATGCCAAAACACAGCCAGCATAAGCTCATGGTGCTCAGAGGGGACTCAAGCACCACCATGGCACCCCCGGCCACCCAGCCAAAGCCCTGGCTCTCCTCAGTTTCCCCATGCAGACCTGGCTTCCAGACTTTCATTGTTTCTTCCATTGTCCTTCTTGCTTTGCTTCCACTTCCTTCACACCTGACTCCTACTTGCTGGTTCCTTCTCTAAATCTACACATTCATTCTTAGGTTTTGTGTCCTACACCCTAGTCTCCTGTGTCCCCGAGAAGAGCATCCTTAGTTGGCACAGAGGAGTTGACCACCTGTCAGCAGTGAACTGATTAATATTGCTAGGAAGCCCACACTCACAGTCAGTCACACATTTTCAGGGGAGTCTGGCCAGCCCCCGACACATGGCTGCCAGAAAGGGCTGGACCAGGTGCATCCCCTCAAACCCCTGTCTCAGCTGCCAGCCTGCATCTGAACTTGTCCTTCCTCCTTGCCAGCTGCAAATTTATGCAGCGATGGGGGAAATGGTGTGCTTTTTTTCTCTTCTCTCAACAATCCTCACACAACTGTGAACACAGATTTCAAAGCATCACAGCCTTTGAAGAGAGGTTTTTCTTCCTTCCTTCTCAAGCCTGTAATTAAATTCCTGGTGACAGAGATGGGGGACAATGACTTCAGAAAGAAACAGGTCCTTTGCTGGTCTCTGAAGCGAGGCAGCACAGGGTGTGAGCATCCATCAACCCACAAGCTCTTCAGGAGAATCTAGCAAACCACCAGACTCCAGGTTCACATCCTTTCTTCCTCCTCCAAATCACCACACTGCTCAGACCTGCCAGGTGTCTGCCTCCATCCTTCATAGGAAGGCTCTAACCCTAACCCCAAACCTAACCTCAGCCTAATTCCCTACAGGATTGACTGCTGGATCTGCCATGTCCAAGAGATGTGAGAAGCTCAGAGATGGATGGGGATGGCTCATCCCTAACACTCATCCAGTCAACAAAGAAATGCATTTTTTCCTCTTCCAAGTATTCTTCGAGTCCAATTCTGAACTGCTCCTGGATTTGCACTGTCCCCAGGTGCTCTTGTGGTGCCAGTTAGCGCACAAAGGACACCACGCTGGTGGCAACTCCAAATGGGGCAGAGTAGGCAGCAGCAAATCCTTGCAGGCCAATGACGATGTAGCGACAGCCTTTGGTGATGACCTTCCCAACATTCTGTTTCCAGAAAGAGAAAGGCAAAAGATGAGGTAACCTGTTACTATCTCTTTGATTCATGGCAACACACCTGCAGAATCATTCTTCCTCGTTCACCCAGAGCAAATTAGCAAGTTGCCATGTTTCCACAGCTGTGGTGCCCCATGCCCACCTCCACACTGAGCCACGTGGGGCTCAGAGCAGGCATCGTCTCTTGTGGAATGCTTGCAAGCAGAACAAATATCCAGATTCCAGATATTTCAGAGACAGACATTCTTAGAAATGCAGTGAGGTTGCCAGTTCTGCAACCAAACCAGTTTTGTTTTATAAACCCAAACCCACTTCTTGTCTCTGTTCTAGCTAGAAATTAGTGGGTCATCTATTGGCCAGGTCAAGTTTTCCTCATGCGTCTTGTCTGGAAGTCCATCCTGCCCTTCCTCTGCATCCATGGCCTACACCTGTCTGACCCACACATTTGTCCCTCTGGAGACCTTTGACATTCTCCAAGTGTTGTGTGCATGAGTCCTGTGTTTCCAGAACAATCACAAACTCATTGAAGGTAAGGGTCAGGCAAGGCTTTCTTTTCTTTTTCTTTCTTTTTTTTTTTTTTTTGCAATACTAGGGCTTGAACTCAGGGCCTTCACTTTGAGCCACTCCACCACTACTACTTTTTTTTTTGTGAAGGGTTTTTTGAGATAGGATCTTGTGAACTATTTTCCTGGGCTGACTTCAAACCACAGTTCTCCTGATTTCTGCCTCCTGAGTAGCTAGGATTACAGGTGTGAGTCACCGGTGCCCAGTTTGGGAAATGCTTTCTTAGTGTCTCCTTCCTTTTTCTGTGTAACGGCTGTTGCTAGACAGGACAGCCAAGGGACTCAAATGGAATTGCAACTAAAAACCTAAGACCACCTATGAGTAACACTTACTGCACTGTTGCCCCCAAATTCTGTCATCATTCTCAGTAACATCAACGTCCACGTAGCTTACCTGGACTTCATCTCACACACTCTGTCTCTCAACCCTATGACTTTTTTCCAATTCCAATAACCACAGTGACTGTTGTACTTAAAATTCCTGATCCCAATCACAAAGCTTACTCTGACATCCAACACCTGCCGGCCCACCCACCTTACCTAATAGGCTGGCTTTCCCTTCCTTCCAGAGGCAGCCTCATGCCTTTCCCTTCCAAGCCTCTCCACCTCCTGCCATCTCCACACATTAGATGATCCCACTTCCTCTGTCACTGTATGTATATCATCAGGCAACTTGTTCATCTCCCCACCACTGTCTACAAACCCATCTGTATATGCTCCTGGCTTCTCCCACCATCCTGAGTTAGAGTGGGAAGGGCCCTGTGTGTCAAGGCTGCTCTCCTGATCTTGTTCTAGCACCCTCTCCATTGCCTCTGGCTTTCTCTTCTCCAGCATTGTCCAATCTGCCTCTCTGTCAGATTACCCCATTAGCTCACTTCTTCCTTCTCCGCTCCACAGCCTGCCCCAGGTCTCTGCTCCCTTCGTGCTATGCCAATTGGAAATGCCATCCACATACTGCCTCCACTCTGCACGTCTTATTCCCTCTCATGCCGGCCTCTAGCTGCCCCCTCAGGGACCGCCTGGCCATTGCCATCAACAACCTCCAGGTTGCCTGATCCAATGGATGATTTTCAGTCTTCCCCCTTGCTGCCCTCTCAGCAGCTCTGAACACATTGTGAAATAATAAATTGGCCTCTTTGATTCCATATTCTTTTTGTTCCCCTACTTTATAGGGATCTCCTGAAAAATTCTTTTTTTTTTTTGGTGGTATTGGGGTTTGAACTCAGGATGTCACATTTGTTAGGCAGGACCTCTACCACTTGAACCATGTTCTCAGCCCTAACCTGTTTTTACTGGATTATCCCTTCCTCTAAAGTTGAAAATGTTGGTGAACCCAGTACTCAGTCCTGCTCCTCCTCTTCCTCTCTCTCTCTGTCTATAAACCCTTTTAAAGTATTCCAATAACTTAAGCATTCTTTCGGCATAACTCTTTGGCTAAGACTCAGATATTTAGCTCTCTACCTCAGATCTCCACTTTCTGAGACCCCAGATGCCGCTGGCATGCACACCATGTCCCTTGCTGTACCAATTACAACTAACTGTAGCTACTGATGTGTCCTTGGTGGCCTTTGGCTACTGCTGAGTTTCAATAAGAAAAAACACAGAAGAGGTACATTTATCCAAGATTATACAGCTAGCAAGAAGCAGAGCTGAAGCGCAATCCCAAAGAAATCTCACTTCAGAGCCTGTGCCCTTTACCTCCATATTCTACCTCTCTCCTTAATAAGGCAGGATTTATGTTCCCTGTGAGTTAAATGCTCACAGCCTGGGAGAGTTCCAGCTCCATTGCTAACTTAACTTTCCTTGGCCTCAGTTTCTTCATCTATACAATGGGAACATGTAGCAACCCCCTCACTGGGTTAAGAGGATTAAGTGAGTTTATTCATGGAAATCAGTTAGAATAGTGTCTGGCACAGGCTGCAGGGAGCATGAGGTCCACAATGTCAACTATTATTACTGTAAAATAATATTTGCTTCTTTTTATTATGTAGTAATTTAGGCTTGTGGTGGTGGCATATTAATCCACAGTATTTCACTGTTTTCAGGAAAGTTTCTTAAGAGAATAATATCCTATGACTTCTGGCCTACCTTTGCTTTCTACAGTTTGAATTTCAGAGTCTCCCATAATAACAGAATGAGGGTGAGAACCTGGTTGTGCTCAGCACTGTTTCCCCTGCCTGTAGAAGGAGCCCAGGTATGTCCTTAGGTCCCTTCCCAGTCACACGAGGAGCTCTGGGAGAACCGTGTACATCTCAGTCTTCTCTGCATACTGCCTGCACGGATGGTGCCTTACATATTTCTCAGTAAGGCAGTGGTGTGTGGGTATGTGTGTGTGTAAAGAGAGTGTGAGAGAGATTCTAAGAGATACATTTCTATAAATGTGTGATGATGAGTTATTGGGAGAATTTCACTTACATGTTTGAAACAGTAATAACAAAACCATGTTCTCTGGGAGCAAGTGTAACAAGAACAATTCTTAATAAACAGCATCACCAGAATCACAACTGCCCGCCTTGAATTTGACATTTTTGGAATTTGAACCTCCATTTTCTTCAGCCTGTTCCTTGAAAATAAACATAGCTGCTGTCACTTCATCTTCGCAGTTTTGGGGGAAATCTATGAAAATATCTCATTTACTGGAACACTATCAAAACCCAGCTTTGAGAAATGAAGTGCAGAGATGAGAGGTTCCAGTGTTATCCATGGGGCAGGTAGGGGATTCTTTGATCTGAGTAAAACGAGTCTCTCAGAGGGATCCTGGAGACAGGAACATGGGAGAGTGTGCCAGGCTGAATCATGGCCACCCAAGATGTGTTAATCCCTGCAAGCCCTTACACTACGCAGCAAGAGAGATTTGGTAGATGTGACTAAGCTACGGACCTTGAGGCGAGGAGGTTATCCTGAATTCCCCAGGTCTGCTCTGGGGATGGAACCCAGGACATGCTAGGTAAGACCTCCACCACTGAGCCTCACCCCCTGTCCAGGTGGGTATCTTTCTAAAGAGGGATGCAGGATGAGTCAGGCAGAAGGCCACGTAAAGATGGAGGAACAGAGAGAAAGGTTTGAAGAGTCTCCTTTTCTGGCTTTGTAGTTGGAGGAAGGGGGCCTCTGGAAGCTGGAAAGAGCAAAGATGGCTTCTCCCCTGGAGCTTCCAGAAGCAAACAGTTCTGAGCATCTTAGTTCATTTAGTAAGACTAATTTGGGACTTCTGGTCTCTTAAACTGTAGGAGAATAATTCTGGCTGGTTTTAAGCCACACTGGCTGTGGTGATCTGTTCATAGCCACAGCCAGCTACACACGGGGAGTGAGGGTTTCCCAGGGCTGCTCCATCTTCACCGCTCCCAGGTGATGCTGGGGTTCTCTGCCCCTCCAGTTTCAAAACGAAAACCACCACTCTGCAGAGATCACTTTCTCTGAACACAAAAGTCAAGTCTCAGTTGTGAAGTGCTGTTTTGTTGGGTAGTCAGCTGCAGAACATGATTTCTTTCTGAGTAAAACTCACACAACAACCGATCAGGAGGAGTGAGTGGGGCCTTGTCTCCTGGCCCTCAGTTAGTAATAGCCAATGGCACAGGACACTTGCCAGGTGCTCTATGGGATCCAAGACTTCTACATGAATTAAATCATTTATTGTCACCATTGCCTCATTATTATCCCATGCTACCGATGAGGAAACTGAGGCGGGAGTAGGGGGGACGTAGTAGCCTGAGGTCACACAGCCAGTAGGTGGCCAGGCAGGCCTCGTGTCTGGTAGTCTAGCTTCAGTGCTCGAGTCCTTAACCCCTACTTAAAACATAGGAACATTTTTATTTTGCTTTGTTTTGTTTTGCAGTATTGGGACTTGAACCTATGACCTCACACATGCTAGGTAAGTGCTATACCACTGAGCTACACCCCACCTCCAAACACAGAGACATTGCTAAAGGTTATTTTACACCTTCCATTTCCCTCTCCAACCCTCTCCTAGCTGCTGCCTGATTAGCAAAATTTACTCATACTTCTCCCGTGGCTCTCAGAGTGCCTGGAGAGGCAGGCTGTTGTTTTAAGTTAAATTCTGAAAAGCACTCGGGCCCCCTCTCACCCAGGGCTCTGCAGGGGAAGGGGCCAGACTCACTGCCCACTCTGCTGCTCTAGCTGTGTAGCCCTGAACAAACAGCTTCACTTTCTTTCACTTCCTTAAACGCCAGCTTCCTTCACAGCAAATTGAGGACAATGGTGGCTTCCTGAGGATGCTGAGAGGATTCAGAGCTATGGCACACAAAGTACGAAGAACGAAGCAGGGCACAGCAAATGTGTGTTCCTCCCTCTCCTGGTGCCCAGCAAAGAGCGTTTCATCAATAACGCTTGCACTATAGGATTGCTATAATCATCACTTAAAAGCCAACTGGGAACACTGAATGCCACAAGAGTCCCCGGCACATAGGCTTCCAGAAGGCTGGACTGCTCAGGGTTAGGAGTGACCTGTGAGTGGGACCGTGGGAGCAGTGGGTGAGTGTGGGCCCACCCGCTCATGTGGCACAATAGAACTCCTTTCCTACAATAGAAGCAGGAAGGAGCTTGGGGGGAAGATCTGAGAAGTTAACAGGAAAAGGAACTGAAAGAAAACACACTCGTTAATATTCCCTGGGCCCAAGATAAAATTTCACCTGATGACTAAAGCAGGTAAAAACGACCTCCCACAGTTCTCCTGGCTTTTTGCAAAAGAGGCTGCTGGTGTCTTTCTCCTTATGGAGGACTGGCGTGCTCTTAGCTGGCTCTAAAAAAGAAGTGAAGTCACTCTTTTGACCTCTAATATGGGAATGTCATCTTGTCTGGCCTGTCAGGTCTACTGGCCTAGAGCTTTCCCAAGTCTACTTCCCTGTTCTGTCAAAATCTGACACCTCTTTTCTGTCAAAATCTATTTTTTTTAGTTCAGGAAAAATTCACATGACCTAACACTAACCATTTTAAAGTTTTCATTTAACATATTTATAATGTGCGACCATCACTTCTGCCTAGTTTCAAAACCTTGGCATCATCCTAGAAGGAAACCACACACTGCAGTAAGCAGTTGATCTCCAGCCCTCCCTTCCCCAGTCCTTGGCAATCACCAAACTGTGTTCTGGCTCTCCACATTCCCTATCTGGACTTTCATATAAATGGAATCTTGGAAACAATGTATAACTTTGTGGTCTGGCTTACTTCACTTAGCATTGTGTTTTCAAAGGTTTGTCTATATGTAGCATATATCCGTACTTCATTCCTTTTTATGACCTAATAATATTCCAGTGTATGTATATACCATATTCTGTTTACACATTCATCTACTGATGGACATTTGGGTTGTTTTCATCTTTTGGCTATTTGTAAATAATGCCTCCTTGAGCATAAATACTGTTTAAGTAGCTGTTTTCAGTTCTTTTGGTTACATGCCTAGAAATGGAACTGCTGGATTAGAGGTTGGCTAAATGCTAAACTTTTCGAGGAACCTCCAAACTTTTCCACAGCAGATGTGCCATTTTGCAATCCAGTGAGCTACATATATAAGGGCCATAAAAGGGCCCCAATCTTTCCACATTCTCCCTGACATTTTTGTGGATGTGGAGTGGTGCCTACTGGGTGTTATCTGGTAGACTTTTTTTTTTTTTCTTTTAAAGATAGGATCTTGCTTTGTAGCCCCAGCTGACCTCAAACTTTTGGTCTTCCTACCCCAGCCTCCCAAATAGCTGGGATTATAGGCATGCCTATCTTTATCTGGTGAAATCTTCTTTTTCTTTTTTTTTTTTTGTTTTGCTGTACTGGGGTTTGAACTTAGGGTCTACACCTTGAGCTATTCCACCAGTCCTTTTTTTGTGATTTTTTTTTTTTCGGGATAGGGCCTAGCAAACTATTTCCCCAGGTGGCTTCAAATCATGATCCTCCTGATATCTGCCTCCTGAGTAACTGGGCATAAGCCATCAGCATTGGGCTGTCTGGTGAAATCTTAACTCATCCTGTGGGCCTAGTACTCTGAAGACCTCCCCGATTTTACAGTCTTATCCTGGGGGAGTAATCAGCTAGGCCTGGGCCATGCAGCTTCACTATGCCCCGACTATGTCATATCTCCCTGAGGCTGTAGGCTCCGCTGGCCAGGGCTGGGAAGGATTTATGTTTTCCATTTCTCGTGCATGTATAATGCCTGGCTTGTGCAGTGGCTGGCACAACCTCTCCAGATGCCAATCCCTGAGGGGTGGTTTCTACGTCATCAGTCCACCAGCTGCTTCATGCTCAGCTGGGGCCAGGAAGAGAGGCAATCAGTCCTATCATGACCTTAGTCCTCAATGTCCCAACTCAAGTTTTTAATTAATGTCTCTCACCACTGCCTGCTTCTGAACTGCTAAGCTGCTGAGATAGGTTTAGAGACAATGACAAACTTAAGCTCCCAGCATGAAGCCTGGATGACTTCAGATTTGCTGAGAGGCCATGAAGGACACAGATAACTGGACAATATATCAGGTGGGGCCATGGTCTGTGGCCCAGACACAATGAGGTTTGTGATTTTTTTTTTACTGGTGGCGTTGTCCAGGCCAAGGGTGGCATTAACTTCCACTTCTTCCAGGTAGGGGCACTTGGGCAGTACCTTTGGGCTCCAATCCCCGAGAAGGAAACTGTCATTCTGGTCCATATTCATCTTTTCTCTCTCCCTTCCCACTCCTCCCCCTACCCCTTCCCACTGGTCCCCAGGCAAATGGCAGAATATTTGGAGGTCCCAGAGTCACCTATGTGCACCAACGCATCAGTGCTCCCGACTGCACACGGGGACACTGATTTCTGTCCTGCCCACGTAGTCAGACAAGAGCCACCTTGGTCGGGTGGGAGCCCTTCGGGGTTCTTCCCCGACGACCCAGCGGCCCCGGGAGCCCCTTACCTTGCCGTACTTCTTCAGCTTCCTCCGGTACCGCTTCTTGGGCTTGTCTCCGGGCGCGGGTTCGGGCGCGGGCTCCTCCAGTGGCTCGTAGCGCTCGGGCAGCGCGGCCAGGTGCACCCTCCGCGCCCCCGCGCGCCGCCCGCGCGCCCCGCGCGCCCCGCACGCCGCCGCCTCGTCCTCGCACTCCAGGTGCTCCAGGATCGCGTCCGCGTCCTCGTCCCCCGCGGCCCGCGCCCGCCCCAGGGGCCCGCGGCGCGGGAGGCTGCTCGCCGCCTTGCTTCGGAGCCTGGCTCCCACCGTCATGGTGCCGTGAGCCCTTCGGCGAAGGTGGTAGCTCCAAGACGCCAACCTTTGCTCCCCAGCAACTCCTCCACCCCCGCCGCCTGGCCCCGGCCCGCCCCAGTCCGTCTTGGCCCCGGGACTTGGGACCGCAGCGCCCCCTGGCCGTGGGGCCCCGGACTGCGGCGGCTGCACCTGGGCCGATCTCCCTGCATTACACCTGTGGGTAAAGGGCTGCAATCCTTTGGATTGCGCGCGCCTGCCATCCCAGCCACTTGGGCGGCTGAGATCTGGAGAATCACGGTTCGAGGCCAGCCCCGGCAAATAGTTCTCAAGACCCCCCATCTGCAAAATAACCAGAGCAAAATGGACTGGAGGTGTGACTCAAGCAAAGCCAAACAGTGGGACTCCATGTGCTCACGTTCGACATTGGCAGAGCTGAGATTAATCATGAAGGTTACACTCAGTGCTGGTGAGGGCGGTGGCCATGGGTTCAAGTGCAAGTTTTTGGAAAAGCAAATTCAAAAAATATTTATCGAGGCCTAAAAAATGTCCATATCCTTCTGGCAAGTATTCAGAAACACAAGGCAATGCGTCCCCAGGGTTTATCACAGCGATGCACAATGAAAAGTGATGAGAATCAAAACAGAGAGGAATGCTAAATGCTGATGGATACCTGTGACAACACGTTAACATCACGATTTTCAGAAGATCACTCAGATAAACATGCAGGGTCGGTGGACTGTGAATCTCAACCTCAAAAGCCTTGGGTTTTGTTTGTTTTCTATTTGAGACAGAGTTTTGCGTTGCCAAAACTGGCCTTGAACTCCTGGGCACAAGCAATCCTCCTGCTTCAGCCTCCCCAGTAGCTGGGACTACAGGTGCACATCACCACCTCCATCCAACTTTTGCCTTTTTTTTTTTTTTTTTAAATATGGGTACATGTCTCTGAATTCTGGAGAATGTAGAATTAAACATAAATTATTAACTTTATACATATTTAAACATTAAAGTTTGCAATGAGTTTAACAATAATTTGGATTGTTGGTATAAGTATGTAAAATTATGATAATTTAGCATGTCAGAATAGAGTTAATTAATTGATTTAGATCTAGTTAATTGTCACATAATAAATAACTACATTTAATATTATAAATATATAAAAACTTTATATATAAAATATAATTTCACATATGTAATTTAATTTAAGGTGAAAGGGATATGAAAATAAATTTAAATTACAATATTTATAAGAAATACACAGGTCTTTGTTACATAATTGAGGGACTTATATTAAGTTTGTAAAAGTTGTTTAAATGTTAAAGAGCTTTAGATTGACTGGTAACCCCTCACGCACAGTGATTGTGAAACTGTATTTGTTTTGTAAGCAGTTTAAAACAATATATAGGTATGTAGGTTGACTTTTAGAAATTTAAAGGAAAGGAGACTTGTACATCTGTAACTTTACTAATGCAACAATTAAATTATAAACAGAGACCCAATGTCCCTTCTCTTTGTACCAAAAAGGACCATTTGCACAAAATGCTTGCCAAATGGAGAAAAAGGTGGATGACTGTGTGTCTAAAATGTGCTTTTGTCCAAAGGAAGCCACTGCTCAACCATCACGAGATTTAGCTGGCTCGCCTTTAAAGGCAAAACACTAGAACAATTGAAAACTGACCTCCAGATTAAATCTCTCCAACCACAGAGCCAGCCAGATTCAAGGAGAGGCAATCAGGATCCATCCTCAGGGCTTTCTGCTGTCTTTCCCAGCAGTGACTCTGCAGGGAGAGCGCTTCCCCTGCTTCTGGGGGAAAACAGGCAGTTGGATAGGTTTCCCTTTCACACTGAAGAAATAGAAATTCCCAAATTTTAAATATAGTCTCACTTTAGATAATCTTAAAAGTCATAATGTTCAATTCCATGTAATACTCAGAACCTTGACCTTGATTTTTAAATTTTTAAAATCTCTTCTCCCCGAGGCAGCGCAAAGAGCAGGCTATGAAGGAGGACCTGCATGGGCCCTCACCTAGTACTTCACCATTTCATGGACAAGACAGAGAAGCCCTGTGCTGGTACTGTGTAAGACATTTGCTGCCACATAGGGCTTGGCATGTTTTGGAAGCTGGCACTTTTGTTCTTTAGCAGTGCTCCATGGGGACCTTCTGTTCTACTGGCCACTACCCAGCAATGCCCTCTGATCCCTGATGCCTCTGCCTTCCGTAGTCACTGGGAGTCCTGTGTCTCATCACAGGTCTGAATGTTTCCCCCTAACTTTGTATGTTAAAATTCTGACTCTCAAGCTGATGATATTAGACGTGGGGCTTTGGGAGGTGAGTAGCTCTTGGGGTGGAGGCCTGATCCACCCCAAATTTTAAGGGTGGTGCCCTTAAAATTTTTCTTCCTTTTTTTTTTTTTTGCAGCACTGGGATTTGAACTCGGGCCTCAAACTTGCTAAGCAGGTACTCTTACTGCTTGAGTCACTCTACCAGCAAAACATTTGACCTTTGGCTTTTTTTTTTTTTGTGGTGGTATTGGGGTTTGAACTCAGGGCCTCATGCTTGCTAGGCAGGCACTCTACCGCTTGAGCTGCTGCACCAGCCTAATTTGTGCCCTTAAAAAGGAAGCCCCAGAGAGACCCATGACCCCATCTCCCATATGAGGACATAGCAAGAAACAAACCTTTCAACACCTTCACCTTGGACTCCTGGCCTCCAGAATTGTAAGAAATAAATTTCTGGATATGCTATTTTGTATGGCAGCCTGAATAGACTGAGACAACTGCTTTTCTTATCCTGAGCCTGTGGACCCTTCTAGATGGCTAAGTGGGGGACAGGATCTGATAGAGGAAATTCAGTGCTTCCCAGTCACCCAAAGGACTGGAAAAGTGGGCTGTAGTCAGGTCATCTCCAGTGCAACGCCATATAGCTGTTGCTTGTGCTGTAGTCAAGAGGCTGAGCACAAGGAGGCTGCCACTGGAGCCTGGTAGAAGGACATACCACACCTTACTTGTCGTCCAGTTAGCTACACTGCCCAATCACCAAGTTAGTTACAGACCCAGCCATGCCTGTGGATTAATCTGCTACGGCTGCCATAACAAATTACCACAGGCAGGGTGGCTTAAACAACAAAAAGTTATTCCTTTGGGAAACTGCAAGTCTGAGATCAAGGTATCAGCAAGTTTGGTTTCTCCTGGGGCCTTTTTCCTTGGCTTGCAGGTGACCACTTGATTTCTGTGCGGTCACCTGGTCTTTCCTCTGTGTGTGCGTCCATCCTGGGTGTCTCTTCCTCTTCTTATAAGGATGCCAGTCTTATTGGATCAGGAGATCACCCTTGTGAGTTTTTGTAATCTTAATTACCTGTTCAAAGTCTCTACCTTAAAATATAATCACATTATAAGGATTTCAGTATGGGAATTTAGAAGGGACACAATTCGGCTCAGCCTTTGGGTCTGCACTGGCAAAACCTAGACACCCCTGCCTTGTCTCTTGATATCCCTGAGACAGGACCAGATGCAGGCATGGAAAAAGCCAGCCCCTATAGAACTGTGCAAGGGCAGGAGCAGAGTAGATAGTGGAAGCACGACTTCTATTCTCTGCCTTTCAGAAGTCTTGGGAGAGCACCTGATAAGCCCAAGCCTAAGCTACCTGCTCAATTTCCTGTAGTCCCCAAGGGACTCTGATGCATGTTGTTTGCACCTTCTAGCCTCTGCACACCAGAAGGGGACTGGAAGGACACTAAGGGTCAATCCATGTCATCTACCATCCCAAGAATTTTTCTTCATTGATAAGAATTAGGAAACCATTCTCCAAAGGAGCTGTAGCATTGGAGAGCTAGGAGTCATGAAAATATATCAGCAACCAAGTAAAAAAAAGTGTCTACAGATCTCAGAGTCTTAAGAATAGTTACCTATTTGAAATAACTTGCATAAAAACAGTTATGGGTATTTTTCCATTTGTACACATATAATGGTTTTGTTTTAATCTTTTGTTTTATTATAAAGGTGTGAATTTAGAAAGAGATAGTCTATCTGGACCTGAAGTTGTATGGATTAAAGTTGTTTAAAATTATTAATTTATAATGTGAGTCAACTCCCTGTTTGGCTATCCTTATCTCAACCAGCAAAAACACTTGTTCCTTCCTATTACTGCTTATACTCTCTCTTCAACAAAATTAGAGATAAGGGCAAAATAGTTTCTGCTGGGTATTGAGGGGGTGGGGAGGAGAAGGAGGGGGTGGAGTGGGTGGTAAGGGAGGGGGTGGGGGCAAGAGGGAGAAATGACCCAAGCCTTGTATGCACATATGAATAATAAAACAATAAAAATAAATAAATAAATAAAATTATTGATTTACTTTTACAGGGTAGATTTAGACTAAAAAAAAAATTTATTTTGGGGGCTGCTAAGAACTGGTTATAAAGCACGAAAGACAGGATAAAAGGTTTAATTTCCCAAAGACTGCCACTTATGTGAATGTGTGTGTTTGTATGTGTGAATTCTAAATTCCAGTTAAGCCTCAATTTTTTGAGCAGTTTAGAAAGGGAGAATGGTAAATTACCACTTTTCTTTGGTTAAAAACTTAATTTTTTAGAGGGTTGGGGTATGGTTTGAGTGGTAGTGCCTTTGTAGCAAGCACAAGGCCCCAGGTTCAAACCCCAGCACAGCAAAAAGAACCAACAAAACTCTTTTTTCTTTCTTTTTAAATTTTTATTTATTTTGTGGTACTGGGCCTCACACTTGCTAGACAAGTGCTCTACCGCTTAAGCTACATCTCCAGCCCCAACTTTTTTTTTTTTTTTTGTTGGACTGGGGTTTGAACTCAGGGCTTCACACTTACAAAGCAGGTGCTCTACTGCTTGAGTCACATCTCCAGTCTATTTTGCTCTGGTTATTTTGGAGATGGAGTTTGAGAACTATTTGCCCATGTGGCCTGAAACCTGTGGATCCTCCTGATCTCAGTGTCCCTCCCAGGCAGCCAGAATTACAAGCATGAGCCATGGGTGCCTGGCTCCAACTTTAGTTTTTAAAAAGGTTATTTTTGAT